GAGTTATGGAAAGAAAGAGGAGGGACTAATTTTTGTTCTAAAAACAGAATCTTCATTGTTTGGGATCCATCCAATAAGCATCTTTAACATGCTTCATGCTGCAAAGACAAAATTAATCTATTCTACAGTAACACTGCAAACATTAAAAAAAATACTTGATAATGTTAAGAATAAAGATACTGCCAAGTATTGGAAATCTCAGCTTTGAGTGGTGCCTCTGCTTTTGGTAGCACTTGTAGGGGAAAGACAGAAAAGATTGAGAGGAGAAGAGACTGAGGACCCATGCAGTGTGGAAGGCCAGCAGAGCTGTTTTGACCAAGTTCTTCGTGCTCTAAAAAATATGACTTGCTGACTTAATCAAAGCTTACAGTAGCATTTTTTTGTGAACCACCATCCTCTTAACAAATTAATTGTGTTGGCAGCACATACTTTCTCTGATTTGCTATTCTACAAAACATTCAAGGGGACTCACAAAATGTTGATGATGACAGTGAACCTTTCAATAACTTATAGGAGCTTCCTAAAAACTGGTGCTTCCTAGGTATACCTTACAGAAAGTACACCTTGCAGATATCTAAGAATTTAACAATGGAAACAAGACAGTTTTCCATTCCATTTCCAAGACAGTTATGTATTGTCTTATATGTTAAAAGTTTGTCTCCCCCCCTCCCCTTTTGGTTGTGAGCCGCCCTGAGTCCCCCCAGGGAAAAGGGCAGCATACAAATAAACTTCAAATCAAATCAAAATCAAAGCTAGTTTGTTTGTTTCTTACAGGGAAGCTTAGGATGATACTGCTATTTAATGATGTAGCTAGTCTAATTATCCTGAGCAAATAATATTAACTTGCCTACTTTCCTGAATAATGCCGGAATGCAAATATTAAACAATATTCATATCTGTAGAGGAAAGCCAGGACAAAATAAAACTAAATTCTATGAGTTGAAAAATATTGTGTTGGAGGTAGTAGCTTAGACTGATGGTTTTTTTGTAGTGTTTGGTCTAAGATTGCTGTATCATTCACACAATGTAAACATTTGGTAGATGTAGAACTATATAAATTTCCCCTGACATTTGTCTGACATGCTGTTAATAAATGGAAAAAGGAAGAAATGCTAAGATGCATATCCTAGTCAACGTAGCTATTTATTGAAAGAACATGCAGAGAAAATGCAAAAATCACTTCAAGTACCATTTGTGAAATTGGCCTGCAAGTTCTTTTCATTAACATTTGGGAAGGAGTGACCAAATAATAAAATAACAAAAGGATCTGATAGGCTTTAGGAAGAGGTTCATAATTAGATTTCTAATATGCTATTGTAATCTGTGATGTAACATTTCCTCCATTATCACAATGTGAGTATTGTAAATGAGAAACTGAAATTGACACATAAACTTCCAAAATGATTTTGCAATGTCATGGTTGGAAATGACCAAATGTATTTTAATCCACACAGGTGCAGAATGCGGATTTAAATTTTTGATTCATTGCTGCATTCTAGAATACTGGGTCTTTATAATTCAGCTATATTTAGTCATCATGTCTCACCTTTTAAGACATGCAGAACATTCAAAGCAATTTCCACATC